GATCTTTTGAATACTATTAGAAAGTATTTAATGTACTTTAAGACCTTATCTACAACTCTCTGTGGCGATAAATATATTACCTTGCCGCTCGTCATATTAGGCTTTAATTTGTTGTTAGACAAATTAGAAACATCAATACAGAGTATCAACGAAAAGCGGAGACAAACTGTGACAGATATGTGTCTCAAAAATGCTCTTCAACGTGCTTTAGATAAGCTCCTGAAACACTACCGTAAATGCAACTGGATATACAGCTCAATTATGATTCTTGATCCAAGATTTAAGTATAAAACTTTTGAGATGACAGAATGGGGTCGCGAGATGGCCGCAGAATCGTTAAAAAAATTTGAACAGATTTTTAAACAAATATATACATCACCAGATTTGAGATATCAACCTACCGAACCAAATGAAGCTATGGACACAAATGATGAATTCAATTTATTTTCACTTTTTGAGCAAAAATCATATTCTGAATCAGGATGGCGACTCGAAATTAGGTCCGCCCAGTTAGCACCCCCAATATCGCAAATCGAAAAATTTATTATGCTATAATTTAGTGCTAATTATGTGCTAATTTTGTGCCCAATCGAAAAATTTTGTGCTTATCAATAAATTAATTTTTTTTTGTTTTTAAGGATGAGGTGCTAGCTGGACGCCCAGCCAGCACCTCACCTATCATAAGACGCAAGAATTTTAAAAAGCAACTATGACATAATTTTGTGCTTTCTATTAGTAAAGATGAGCATTTTTAAAAACTCACCCTTCATACAAAAATCAACCCTTACCTATATGTAAATAGCATGAACAGTTTATCTCTTTCAGTTACGCATTTTTCATTTCACTAAATTCACTTGAAACTCATTACTCCGGGGTTTTTGGGGTCGCTGAATTCAAATCTAATGCCACTTTTCAAAAATTCAAAATGTCGGATCCAATATGGCGGACTTAAAAAATTAAAAATCAACTAAATTCACACTGAGAAAAAAGGTTTGAGCTGACAACCAAATATTTCATTTAATATATGTGCAACTAAAATTTTTTGGTTGACACAACTAAACTTTAGTTGACATCAACCAAAGTTTGGTTGACACTACCAAATTCTTTTTCATTTTCTTATTTAATCGTTTGAAACAAACTTTGGTTGTTGTCAACTAAAGTTTAGTTGTGTCAACCAAAAAATTTTAGTTGCACATATATTGAATGAAATATTTGGTTGTCAGCTCAAACTCTCTCACCCTATGAAATTTAGAATTTTGTGCTCATCAGATTCTTGTTTAACAAGCAAAAAAATGTCAACCTATGAGATTTAGAATTTTGTGCTCATCGGAATCTTGTTTAACAAGACAAACTCTCTCACCCTATGAAATATAGAATTTTGTGCTCATCGCATTCTTGTTTAACAAAACAAATACTCTTACCCTATGAAGTTTAGAATTTTGGGTGTTTTCGGGAGTCATTCGCAGCAGCTGCTGGGAGCACTCAGTGGTGCTCAAAAGATTTAGTGTAAAATTATAAGGATATAGTTCCGAATAGCACATACCTCCGATTTCAATAAAACTTAGTATCCCTACGTAATTTGGTGCGCTGATTACCAAAATCATAGTGAAAATTGGCGGAAATTTAATTATCATGGTAAAAACCATAAAAAACACCATAAAATCATGGTTTTTTTCGATTATCTCGTAAAAAACAAAAAACTTCGAAAAAAGTTTTAGACGAAAGTTGTAGATCTCTAAAAAACACACATTTCATGTTTTATGCATTTTTTACCAAAAGTCATTATTTTTCGAGAAAAACGCAAAATAATAAACACGGCCTTCGGCCGCGTAAGGTACTGCTCGCTTCTCTTTTTAAGAAATCTTGGCGAGAGGGGGTGGATGTGTCCGAAAGTAATTTGCAGAAATTGTGGGGTGGAGTCTACAGCAGCGGTAAACGCAAAATAGTAAACACGGCCTTCGGCCGCGTAAGGTACTGCTCGCTTTTCTTTTTAAAAAAACCTTGGCGAGAGGGGGTGGATATGGCCGAAAGTATTTTGCGGAATTCGTTGGATCCTGAGTAATGGTGAATATGATAATTTCTGCAAATTACTTTCGGACACATCCACCCCCTCTCGCCAAGATTTCTTAAAAAGAGAAGCGAGCAGTACCTTACGCGGCCGAAGGCCGTGTTTACTATTTTGCGTTTTTCTCGAAAAATAATGACTTTTGGTAAAAAATGCATAAAACATGAAATGTGTGTTTTTTAGAGATCTACAACTTTCGTCTAAAACTTTTTTCGAAGTTTTTTGTTTTTTACGAGATAATCGAAAAAAACCATGATTTTATGGTGTTTTTTATGGTTTTTACCATGATAATTAAATTTCCGCCAATTTTCACTATGATTTTCGTAATCAGCGCACCAAATTACGTAGGGATACCAAGTTTTATCGAAATCAGAGGTATGTGCTATTCGGAACTGCACCCAATTATAATCTTTTTTTGGGTTATTAATTACACGTGGACAGTTTATAAAATCCCGTTTTCTAATTGGCGCAGAAAATGCAATCTGCGGCAAATGTGAAACGTACTGTAGGTTTTATCAAAACCTAACTTAACCTGTGCCCATTTTTCGCGAATTTCACTAAAATACCCCAAAATTGTGCTAGTGAAAAAACTCTAGACTTGTAGGCAGCAGCTATTTTATTTTTGCAGGATTCAAAAAAGGAGAAATAACGCAAGAAAAATGGCAGCAGGTATGTATATGTTGAAACAATTTAAACTTTTTTTCTAAAGTAATTAATTTAGTTTTCGAGTATCGGATTTATGCTCTTATAGTCATAAATTAATAAAGCAATTAAATTTGTTGATAATCATCGTTTGTTAATTTTATGCTTGTTTTAATACAAAACAAAAACATGTATCCTGAGGTTATGTTGCAGTAAGTAATAATTCTTTTTAATTATTAAAAAATTATGTAATCATATATAATTGATTAAATAATATAACTTTATATTTTGTTTTCTTTTGCTATTAACTTTTATATTGTATATAATTTTTTTTTTGAGATTATAGTGACTGGTGCAATTTCAATTTTAGTGCTATTGCACTGAAAATTTGTCGGTGCTAAAAATTTGAATTGTATGTGTTCATTCGCATTTAATTAAGGGTAGGAAGCAGTGATGTTTATAAACAATTCAAATTATTTTTGTCAAGGATTGATACATTTTTCTATGGATAATTTGATAAAAAATAACTACAAAAAAATAAACTATTAAAATTAAAAAAATAATATGTAGTCAAAAATTCAGGGTTGCCACGGGTCACAGAAATAATGGAAATACAGGGAAAAATCAGGGAATTTTATCAAAAGTCCTGGACAATTGAAAAATTTATAAAGTACTACGGAAATTCTGCTTTTTGAAAATTTTAATTCAAATTCTGACTTAAAAAAATTTCTGTAAAATTTTTTTATAAATAAAACCCTCTTCAAATTTTTTTATTAGAATTACCCTATTGAAAAAAAACACGTATAATTATACGTATAATAATACGTATAATTATGCGTATAATTATGCGTATAATTATACGTATTATTATACGTATAATTATACGTATTATTATACGTATAATTATATGTATTATTATACGTATAATTATACGTATAATAAGACATACGAATTTGAAACAAGAATTATACGTATAATTATACGTATAATTATACGTATAATAATACGTATAATTAATTATACGTATAATAATACGTATAATAATACGTATAATTATACGTATTATTATACGTATAATTATAATTCTATTAAAAATAGAATAATAGAATAGAATAATAATAGAATAATTAGTAGCAAAATTGCGCTGAAAATTTTTAGAAATTTTAAAATGCAAATTAAATTTCACGAAAAAAAATATCGTCGAATGTCAATTCAAGCAGTCACCCATCCAAGTACTAACCGCGTCCAACGTTGCTTAACTTCTGTGATCTGATGAGAACTTGTTCCTTCGCCTTGGTGTTTCCGCTGTCTTGTCTTGATTAATAACTTTGTCGTATAAGTATCACTAAAAGTGAGGTTAGGTGCGATACAATACTTATACGACAAAGTTATTAATCAAGACAAGACAGCGGAAACACCAAGGCGAAGGAACAAGTTCTCATCAGATCACGGAAGTTAAGCAACGTTGGACGCGGTTAGTACTTGGATGGGTGACTGCTTGAATTGACATTCGACGATATTTTTTTTCGTGAAATTTAATTTGCATTTTAAAATTTCTAAAAATTTTCAGCGCAATTTTGCTACTAATTATTCTATTATTATTCTATTCTATTATTCTATTTTTAATAGAATTATAATTATACGTATAATAATACGTATAATTATACGTATTATTATACGTATTATTATACGTATAATTAATTATACGTATTATTATACGTATAATTATACGTATAATTCTTGTTTCAAATTCGTATGTCTTATTATACGTATAATTATACGTATAATAATACATATAATTATACGTATAATAATACGTATAATTATGCGTATAATTATACGTATTATTATACGTATAATTATATGTATTATTATACGTATAATTATACGTGTTTTTTTTCAATAGGGTAGGGAAAAAAAACAATTTCATTTAGAAATCAGGGAAAAGTCAGAGAAAAAGAAAATCAAATTTTTGTGGCAACCCTGATAATGTTTTTAATAATAATGTAATACAAATAATAATTATAATATAATAATTTAATAATAATGTCCAATTAATTAAAATTATTTTGCAATTTTTAACTGAAACTAATATAATTTATTATTCTGGTTTATTTTCAACAGATTTCTGATACAATATTGTAATAATATTATTGAAAATAACAGAATTAAAGAACTGTTTTTTCTGAATATAAGAATTTCTAAAGAAAGTTATTTTCTTGTGTAAAAAATAATTTAAGATTTGGGTGCGAGTAACACTCGTATTTGTCCGCGATATTTTACACACTTTTTTCATTTTTTTCTATTTATTTAAAAAATTTTAATTTGTTTTAAAAATAAAATTGTAAAAACGGTATAATTTTTTTTTTAAATTTCAATAATAAAATAATTGTATATCCCTAATAATGCCAGAAAAAGAATTTTCGCATGAATATAAAATAAATATTAAAGGAAAAACCCGGAAAATACTCTGAGCTCGACTCAAGAAATTACGTGTTTGGGGTATTTGGACTTTTTGCTCAATTGTGTGTGCAAAAAGCTGCAATGTTTACAAATAGTAAATAATAATTGTTTTTTTTAAATATGCTTTAGCTGTTCCTGGGGGAAGAAGCAGCAGCAATAGCAATTATTGCCGCCGTCAACATGATCCTTGAGGACGACGCCGACGATGAGGAAGAAGATGAAGAAGTTTTGCAATTATTAGCTGCTGTAGAAAGGGATAGACGCGCAGTGCCCAAAACTCAAAATTATTTTGAGGAAATTATTCCCAGATTTTCTTCATCAGGTACAAAAGTATAAAATATTTAACTGCTTGCAACAAAATAATAATAATAATAATAATATGTTGATTATTATTTAAAAAAATAATAATTTGCTTTTCTCACATCTTTTATCATTTGCTTATCTTTATATATATTTTATTAAAAATAATGAAGGGTATTCCGCCTTCTAAACTCATGCATAACATTTTTTGTACTATGTTTCACAGAATTTCAATCACATTTTCGTATGAGTCGAGCCACGTTCGAACAACTGACCAGGATCCTTGCACCAGACTTACAGGGTTTGCATTCGGTAGTTCCTGTTGCGAAAAAGTTGTCAGTCGCTCTTTGGTATTTCGGAAATCAAGACGTTTATCGGTATGCGTTTTTTATTTATATATTTACAGGGTTGCCACGCTACCTGGAAAACCTGTAATTGTCGGAATTTTTTTGAACCTTAAAAAAAACCTGGAAAAGTCAGGGAATTAACTTTTGAAACCTGGAAAATGGCAAATTTTTGACGAATTTGAATCAGTGACTGATTTTTTTTTCCCTGGAAAAGTCAGGAAATTTTGGTACCGGAAAAGCTTTGCAACCCTGTATTTTAATACATTAGAGCCATATAAAATTTAATCTTTTATAAAAAAATAAAATTTTTTTTTGTAGATCTATATCGGACAGGTTTGACCTTTCCAAGTTCAGAAAACTTTATTCATTGGCCTACTGGACTCGAATTCACCAGATTGCAGCATGAATTTCAGCAAATGGCTGGATTTCCAGGTGTCATTGCACAGTGGGGCCAAAAACACGTCCGTGGACAAATTAACTTAGAGCCTACAAATTTCAACCGATTTTGACGTTCTTTGAATTGACTTAAAGGTAATAAAATTCCACACAGCGCTGTCGTTTTTGTTTTTTTAAAAAAAAATTTTTTCTATTGTTTATTTATTGTTAAAGTTGAAAATTTTTTTTTTCTTCTCTAAAAACTACATAAGTTTTTCAAAAAGGACGGTATTACATCAACAAAGCCTAAAATTGTTAAAGCAATGATTTGAGAACATTTTCTGAGATTTAAATAATTGTTTAAAAATTTTTTGTAATTGTTATTAACAAATTAGCGGACTAAAGACGATTTAATTGTTTTTTTTACTTTTAGCAAATGAAATGCATGTAATCTTTTGTATTTAAGGGCCAAAAGTAATTAACATTGAAAATACTTATTATAAACTAATTATTGTTATTTTTTAAACAATTTTTATAAACAATTTTCTTTATCTTAGTTCTTTATAACTAAATTATTTAAATATTGTGTTCAGTCTACTATATTATTACTCAAGATGAACAAATATTGCTAAATTTTGACAATTTTCAACTTATTGTTAGCTTTGTTTAAACAACTCTTAATTAACAAATACACAGTGACGTTGTTTTTAGTTGTTTCAAATTCGTTTTTTTTCAAGACTCCTTAATTTTTAAATATTTTTATATTACACCGTCCGACACGATTTTTCACACACGAAAAAATCAATGATTTTCAGAAACTAGGACCAAAAAAAAGATACCCGTGTCTGGCCGTTTTGCTAGATCAGGTCATTTTTTGCTTTTAGGGGTAAAATCAACCCTTAAATAAAAGGTGATAGGAAATCTTGTACAAATAAATAATTTTTTATGAAACCTGGTATCTCGGGGTTTTCCGGGTCGCTGATTACGAATCTGATGTCGGATTTTCAAAATTCAAAATGGCGGATCCAATATGGCGGTTGAAATTTATAATAATTCACCAATTCATTTGAAAGTTGTTACTTAGGGGTTTTTGGGGTCGCTGATTGCGAATATGATGTCAGATTTTCAAAATTCAAAATGGCGGATTCAATATAGCGGTCAAAATTTATAAAAGTTCATCGAATTCACTTGAAACTTGTTACTTGAAGGTTTTTGGGGTCGCTGATAACGAATATGATGTCAGATTTTAATAATTCAAAATGGCGGATCCAATATGGCGGTCGAAATTTATAAATATTAATCATTTTTTATAAAACTTGGTGTCTAGAAGTTTTTGGGGTCGCTGAGCACAAATCTGAAGTCAGATTTTTAAAATTCAAAATGGCAGATTCAATATAGCGTTTGAAATTTTTAAAAGTTTGTCGAATTCACTTGAAACTTGTTACTTGAAGGTTTTTGGGGTTGCTGATTACGAATTTGATGTCGGCTTTTCAAAATTCAAAATGGCGGATCCAATATGGTGGTCGAAATTTATAAATGTTTTTATGTTATTATTATTATTATTATTATGTTATTATCAGCGACCTCAAAAGCCCCTAGACATCAAATTTTATAAAAAATAATTAATATTTATAAATTTCGACTGCCATATTGGATCCGCCATGTTGAATTTTCAAAATCTGACATCATATTCGTTATCAGCGACCCCAAAAACCTTCAAGTAACAAGTTTCAAGTGAATTCGACGAATTTTTAAAAATTTCAAACGCTATATTGAATCTGCCATTTTGAATTTTAAAAATCTGACATCATATTCGCAATCAGCAACCCCAAAAACCTTAAAGTAACAAGTTTCAAGTAAATTCGATGAACTTTTATAAATTTCGAACGCCATATTGAATCCACCATTTTGAATTTTGAAAATCTGACATCAGATTCCTAATCAGCGACCCGGAAAACCCCGAGATACCAGGTTTCATAAAAAATTATTAATTTGTACAAGATTTCCTATCACCTTTCATTTAAGGGCTGTTTTTACCTCTAAAAGCAAAAAATGACCTGATCTAGCAAAACGGACAGACACGGGTATCTTTTTTTTGGTGTTTCTGAAAATCATTGATTTTTTCATGTGTGAAAAATCGTGTCGGACGGTGTAATATAAAAATATTTAAAAATTAAGGAGTCTTGAAAAAAAACGAATTTGAAACAACTAAAAACAACGTCACTGTGTATTTGTTAATTAAGAGTTGTTTAAACAAAGCTAAGTTGAAAATTGTCAAAATTTAGCAATATTTGTTCATCTTGAGTAATAATATAGTAGACTGAACACAATATTTAAATAATTTAGTTATAAAGAACTAAGATAAAGAAAATTGTTTATAAAAATTGTTTAAAAAATAACAATAATTAGTTTATAATAATTATTTTCAATGTTAATTACTTTTGGCCCTTAAATACAAAAGATTACATGCATTTCAATTGCTAAAAGTAAAAAAAACAATTAAATCGTCTTTAGTCCGCTAATTTGTTAATAACAATTACAAAAAATTTTTAAACAATTATTTAAATCTCAGAAAATGTTCTCAAATCATTGCTTTAACAATTTTAGGATTTGTTGATGTAATACCGTCCTTTTTGAAAAACTTATGTAGTTTTTAGAGAAGAAAAAAAATTTTTTTCAACTTTAACAATAAATAAACAATAGAAAAAATTTTTTTTTAAAAAAACAAAAACGACAGCGCTGTGTGGAATTTTATTACCTTTAAGTCAATTCAAAGAACGTCAAAATCGGTTGAAATTTGTAGGCTCTAAGTTAATTTGTCCACGGACGTGTTTTTGGCCCCACTGTGCATTGGAGCGATTGACTGCTGTCAAATACCAATTAGTGCTCCTCATCAAAATCCAGATAGCTACATCAACCGCAAAGGTTACCATTCGATCAACACGCAGGCAATATGTGATTCGAAAAGGCGATTCTTAGACGTTTTCACAGGATCCTGCGGAAGCGTTAACGATGCGAGAGTTTTTCAACTAAGTCCGTTACGAGAGGAGATCATGCGAAACATGGATCAGTATTTTCCAGAGCAGACACACATTCTTGGAGACAAGATATACACTGTGGAATTCTACTTATTGCCTCCTTATAAAAATTTCGATCAATTAACGGACATGCAAAACATTTTAACTTGGTGCACGCGCGAACGCGACAAGTTATTGAAAGAGCATTTGCCTTGCTATTGGGACGCTTTCGACGTCTCAAACACTTATTTTTGCAGAACATTGAATATGCTGCACTCATCATTTTGGCGTGCTGTTGTCTGCACAACATTTGCATATCTTTAAATGATGAATTCGATGTGGAGGATATTGATGAAAATGTTAATGTTCCATGTGACGTGAATGTTCCTGAAAATGTTCCTGAAGACGTTCCTAATGATGCAGTGTCAGGAAATGTCCAATTTGACCCGGAAATAAAACGCCGAATCATTACCGACTCATTATATGGGAGAATGTAATTATTTTTTTTATCGCCCGCGTAAAGCGCCCCAGGATAAAAAAAAATTGAGAAATTTTTTTATATTCTTTCGCCGCCGTTATTTAAAAACTTGAAATGAAAAATCGCGTTGTTTAACTTATAAAAAAATGTAAATAATAAATATGTTTAATAAAATTGATATAATAAACTTTGTATATATATTTTGACAATTATTATAATTGTTATTATTATTATATACTTAATTGTTTTATTAAATTTGATGTCTAAATATGTATTATTTATATTATATTAAAATTTGTTAAAAGTTTTTAAATACAACTGAAGACTGTCATTTAGTTTGAAATGAAAATAATACCATTCATTCAACAAGAAAGAAAATTACATCTTTTTTGATTTACATATTTATATTTATGATTATAAAAAAATAAATTTATTTTTTACAAAGGTTTCTTTTTAATAATTTTAGAATAATATTGTCATTCGCAGTACAATTTTTTAAAATATAATTGACTTTTTCTTTCTACGTATATGTATATACGTTTTTCAAAATTAATTATATTATTTTTTACAGTACGACATAATAAATTTTATAAATAGACAACATTTTTTTGACATATGTCACATATGTCACCGTAAAATTAATACAACAAATGATATAAACTTTTATTTCAACATTCACTTTAAAAAAAAATTAAAAACTAGAAAAATGAAACACTTATAATTTTAAACGAAACTTAAAATTACCTTTGGCGGAAAAATACTGAATAATAATAATCAAAAATAATATTTTCATTGAAATACTTTTCAGACATTCGGCAGAAAAGTTTATTTCTTTTTAATGGCATCGGCCAAGTTGTTAATTGCGTCGATCATTCGATCGTGCTTCTCCATCTTTATGACGAATTTTTCGTCTGAGCTCGAAATGAATTTTTGGATATATTCGTTTTGTGTTGTACTTTTTTTCTCAATTTTCCTCTTCTTCTCCTCATTCGAATTTTCTGGTTTTGTTTGGTCTGCAATTCGTTTTTCGTAGCCTCTGATATTTGACGCGATGGCCGGAGGATTTATTTGCGGTTTGGAAAACATAATATTATGCATTTTATCGTAAAAGGTGAAATCGGGCGGACTTGCACCAGTCGATTTCACTTTCTGCAAACAATTTTTGTATTTTCTGCATAACCCGTCCCATTTAGACTTACATTTGGAGTAAGGGATTGCATAACCATGCGTCTTTAGCAACTCACTTATTTTTTTCCAAAATAATACACCCTTCAATTTCGATTTTTTTTGGAGTTCGGAGTAATGATTAATTAATGATCGAGTCATTTTCTTTTTCCAAATTATGCGCGTCTTACCTACAAAAAATACAAGCTTAATTAATAAATTAATAAACTTCATGGAAACTAAAATTTTTTTTCTTGATTTGTTGAAAAATGAAAAATTTTGAGAAGACCTTACAGAAGTCATTTGGCCAATATTATATATATAAATATTTTTTCAATGTTTTATAAAAATTTGAATAACACTTTAAAAATAATGAAAGCATTTTAATGTTTTTAGGCTTATTGTAAAAATCGTATTCTACAAAATAATAATGACTTATAAGCATTAAAGTCTGATTTTTTCATAGAAAATGCAAGTTGTCAAAGGACAAAAAAAATTCAAAAAATTTGAAATAATTTTATTTAATTTCCTCGAAAAATCTATAACAAATTATGTTTTATATATTTTGTGTAATTGTTTTTGGTATAAAAAGATAATTTCAAATCTTTAAAATTTTTTTGGTCCAACTTTGACCAGCTACATTTTCTAAGAAAAAAGTTGCACTTTAATTAAAAGTGATTCGTATTCTGTGGAAAATGATCTTTAAAATAAAGCTGTAAGACCAAGAAAAAGCGTTCATTATAAAAATTATTCAATTTTTGTAAAACATTAAAAATGACGATTTTTTAAAAATATGCGTAAATAAAATATTGGTCAAATGACTTCTGTGAAGTCGTTTGTTCATTTTAAAATTTTATCTTCTATCAAAATATGTAGCGAAAAAAATTTTACTTTTCATAAATTTTACATTTTAAAAATTTTTCCATCCCCTGAAAATGGGTGGTCTCTCATTTTTTTTAAAGAACTAAAATAATAGAAAAATCAATAAAATAATAAATCAAAATTCACTTGGATCTGTAGTTCCTTCATTTTCTCCTCCATCATCATCATCATCATCATCGTCGTCGTCATCGTCGTCGTCGTTGCCATGGTTGTTGTTTTCGTCCTCGGCGTACTTTTCGGTGGGGTCAATTGAATCACAATTATTTGATGAAGTTGATGGAGATTCCAAAAAATCTAGAAAAGAAAATATAATTAATCATATGTGAATGTAGAAATTTCAAAAAAAGAGTAAATTAACATGTAAATAATTGTAATAATATTATTAATTGTATTTTGTGACAGAAAAAATACAAGTTTTCAAGATAAAAATTAAAAATCTAAAACAAACATTTGTTTATAGAATTTACATTTAATCGCATTTTTTATATCATCGCATCTACAGAATTTTTTAAAAATTACTTGATTCAATTTAATAAAGTTTATTTTCTTCAGAAAATGAATCTCCACAAGTTAACCGTGGGGATCTTCAAACAAACAAGATATTTGTAAAATATAGCAATTTGTTTAAAAACATTAATTAAGGATTACTTTAAAGAAATACCTATATTTTCCAAACAGCTTGGTTCTTTGAAAATCCCTACGATTAAGTTTTAGTGAATTATTTTCTGAAGAAATTAAGCCATATTAAATTAAAATCAAATCATTTTTAAAAAATTCTGTAGAAGCGATGTAATAAAAAAATTTGATCATATGCAAAATGTTTAAAGAAATATATTTTTTTGATTTTATATTTTTTTCTTGAAAAATTGAAAATAGAATATTTAATTCTTCCCTTACGCAAAATTAAATAAGAAATGATTTTAATTTTAATAATAAATAATATAATAATCAACGACAATTCTTACAGTATTGGAAATAATGTTGTTAACGAACCTGGATCAATGTTCTCCTTTTCCGAACTGCGATTCAAAATATCTTCAGGTCCTAAAATTAAAATTTCAGTATGTATTTGTTAGAAAAATGAAACTTATTTTTTAGAATATATTACGTCAATTTTCCAATAAATAAATATATGTATTATTTTAAGAAAACAATTACAGAGTATTGCACTTACGCGGCATTGAATAGAAGACATTTTTATTTCGCGGATCTAAAAAAGCCAATGTATTAGAAGATCGATGTTGTTGAAGTAGTTCCGATTCTGAAAAGAAAGTAAATCATTGAGATGATCAATAATAATTAGGTTGAAATCTTATTGTTAAAGTTGTTTCTATCCTTCGATTTTTTTGAAATAATTTTTAAACAAAAATACTTTCTTTTACGAAAATTTTAAGTCTAGTCCCGTCGTGGATAAATGATTTTTTAAAGTTTTTCTAATTTTTTTTTCAAATTACTGAAATTCAGTATTCAATGGAAAAATACTCCATTTCAATTTAAAAAAATTTCCAAAGTTGTAAAAATTACTTCCCAATAACCAAACTAGAATTAAAAATTGCGTAAAAAGAACTACTTTTGTTTAAAAATTATTTAAAAAATGGAAGGATACAAACAATGTTAAAAATATGTTACTTTTTATATGATCTGTTGGTTTGACGAGGCATTTCTTTACAAATCCGTGAATTATAATTCATAGGTTATTTTTTATATTATGTATTGAAAATTTTTTTATTTTTTCACCTTGTTTTTTATATTATTTGACAAAAATTGTGATTTTTTCATACATAATATAAAAAATACCCTACTAATAAAACACTCTCAGATTTGAGAAAAATATTCCCTGAGTTCAAACTTACTTGAATTTTCAATTTCTTGATCTTTTTCATGATCGTCATCATATTCTTCATTGATTTGTTTCTCGATACAGTTATCGTCTTGGAATGTTGGATTTTCGATTTCTTCATTCTCTTCATCATCAACATCGTCATCATCATCATCATTGATCACATATTCCTCCTCTTGAAATGATGGTTGACGATTAGTCATGAGATCGACAACTTGCGTGACTTCAGCAAGCGACATATACTGCATCGTTTCGGTTCCTAAAGTAAAAAAATGTCACTTTTATAAAAATCACAAGTTTTATTACAAACAAAAATTAGAAGTACTTGGCGTCAACATGAAATTAATTAAAGTTCAAGTTAATAACATTTGAAGATGATAACAGAAATAAACCTTTTTTTTACTTACCGTCACATTTCAGAACCTCACACAGTATAAATTGATCCTCTTCTCTTACAATCATCCCACCTGTTTTTGGATTAATAACAGCTGTGACACACAAACTTTCAATTAGACTATTCATTTTGTTTTTAATTACTTTAAAATTATCACAAATCACAATCACTTTTGCGTCATGCCTGTGTCTGGCACTGTGCGCGCATTTTGCTATCCGGGTTGTTGAATGCAACCGGCAAACATGAACTCTACGGTAAAAAGAAAAAAACGTGGGCAGATATAAAAAAAGTCGCATTGCGCATGTATCAGGAATTGTCCGCAAATAAATTGTGGATGTAAATTAGCCTTTATTTTCAAACATACATTTATGAAAAAAATCTGAGAAAAATCTTTTGAGCACCACTGAGTGCTGCAGGCAGCTGCTGCGAATGACTCCCGAAAACACCCTTTGTGGTCATCAAATTCTTGTTTAACAAGACAAATACTCTCACCCTATGAAATATAGAATTTTGTGCTCATCGGATTCTTGTTTAACAAGACAAATACTGTCACCCTATGAAATTTAAAATTTTGTGCTCATCGGAATCTTGTTTAACAAGACAAACTCTCTCACCCTATGAAATATAGAATTTTGTGCTCATCGGAATCTTGTTTAACAAGACAAACTCTCTCACCCTATGAAATATAGAATTTTGTGCTCATCGCATTCTTGTTTAACAAGACAAATACTCTCACCCTATGAAATACAGAATTTTGTGCTCATCGGATTCTTGTTTAACAAGACAAATACTGTCACCCTATGAAATTTAGAATTTTGTGCTCATCAGATTCTTGTTTAACAAGACAAATACTGTCACCCTATGAAATTTAGATTTTTGTGCTCATCGCATTCTTGTTTAACAAGACAAACTCTCTCACCCTATGAAATATAGAATTTTGTGCTCATCGGAATCTTGTTTAACAAGACAAAATCTCTCACCCTATGAAATATAGAATTTTGTGCTCATCGCATTCTTGTTTAACAAGACAAATACTGTCACCCTATGAAATACAGAATTTTGTGCTCATCGGATTCTTGTTTAACAAGACAAATACTGTCACCCTATGAAATTTAGAATTTTGTGCTCATCAGATTCTTGTTTAACAAGACAAATACTGTCACCCTATGAAATATAGAATTTTGTGCTTATCGCATTCTTGTTTAACAAGACAAATACTGTCACCCAATGAAATTTAGAATTTTGTGCTCCTCGAATTCTTGTTTAACTAGACAAATACTCTCACCCTATAAAATATAGAATTTTGTGCTTATCGGATTCTTGTTTAACAAGACAAACTCTCTCACCCTATGAAATATAGAATTTTGTGCTCATCGCATTCTTGTTTAACAAGACAAATACTGTCACCCTATGAAATTTAGAATTGTGTGCTCATCGGAATCTTGTTTAACAAGACAAACTCTCTCACCCTATGAAATATAGAATTTTGTGCTCATTGCATTCTTGTTTAACAAGACAAACTCTCTCACCCTATGAAATATAGAATTTTGTGCTCATCGCATTCTTGTTTAACAAGACAAATACTGTCACCCTATGAAATTTAGAATTTTGTGCTCATCGCATTCTTGTTCAACAAGACAAATACTGTCACCCTATGAAATTTAGAATTTTGTGCTCATCAGATTTTTGTTTAACAAGCAAAAAAATGTCAACCTATGAGATTTAGAATTTTGTGCTCATCGGAATCTTGTTTAACAAGACAAACTTTCTCACCCTATGAAATATAGAATTTTGTGCTCATCGCATTCTTGTTTAACAAGACAAATACTGTCACCCTATGAAATTTAGAATTGTGTGCTCATCGGAATCTTGTTTAACAAGACAAACTCTCTCACCCTATGAAATATAGAATTTTGTGCTCATTGCATTCTTGTTTAACAAGACAAACTCTCTCACCCTATGAAATATAGAATTTTGTGCTCATCGCATTCTTGTTTAACAAGACAAATACTGTCACCCTATGAAATTTAGAATTTTGTGCTCATCGCATTCTTGTTCAACAAGACAAATACTGTCACCCTATGAAATTTAGAATTTTGTGCTCATCAGATTTTTGTTTAACAAGCAAAAAAATGTCAACCTATGAGATTTAGAATTTTGTGCTCATCGGAATCTTGTTTAACAAGACAAACTCTCTCACCCTATGAAATATAGAATTTTGTGCTCATCGCATTCTTGTTTAACAAGACAAATACTGTCACCCTATGAAATTTAGAATTTTGTGCTCATCGGAATCTTGTTTAACAAGACAAACTCTCTCACCCTATGAAATTTAGAATTTTGTGCTCATTGCATTCTTGTTTAACAAGACAAACTCTCTCACCCTATGAAATATAGAATTTTGTGCTCATCGCATTCTTGTTTAACAAGACAAATACTGTCACCCTATGAAATACAGAATTTTGTGCTCATCGGATTCTTGTTTAACAAGACAAATTCTCTCGCCCTATGAAATATAGAATTTTGTGCTCATCGCATTCTTGTTTAACAAGACAAATACTGTCACCCTATGAAATTTAGAATTTTGTGCTCATCAGATTCTTGTTTAACAAGCAAAAAAATGTCAACCTATGAGATTTAGAATTTTGTGCTCATCGGAATCTTGTTTAACAAGACAAACTCTCTCACCCTATGAAATATAGAATTTTGTGCTCATCGCATTCTTGTTTAACAAGACAAATACTGTCACCCTATGAAATTTAGAATTTTGTGCTCATCAGATTCTTGTTTAACAAGACAAATACTGTCACCCTATGAAATTTAGATTTTTGTGCTCATCGCATTCTTGTTTAACAAGACAAATACTGTCACCCTATGAAATTTAGAATTTTGTGCTCATTGCATTCTTGTTTAACAAGACAAACTCTCTCACCCTATGAAATACAGAATTTTGTGCTCATCGGATTCTTGTTTAACAAGACAAATACTGTCACCCTATGAAATTTAGAATTTTGTGCTCATCAGATTCTTGTTTAACAAGACAAATACTGTCACCCTATGAAATATAGAATTTTGTGCTCATCGCATTCTTGTTTAACAAGACAAATACTGTCACCCTATGAAATACAGAATTTTGTGCTCATCGGATTCTTGTTTAACAAGTCAAATACTGTCACCCTATGAAATTTAGAATTTTGTGCTCATCAGATTCTTGTTTAACAAGACAAACTCTCTCACCCTATGAAATATAGAATTTTGTACTCATCGCATTCTTGTTTAACAAGACAAATACTGTCACCCTATGAAATTTAGAATTTTGTGCTCATCGCATTCTTGTTTAACAAGACAAATACTGTCACCCTATGAAATTTAGAATTTTGTGCTCATCAGATTCTTGTTTAACAAGCAAAAAAATGTCAACCTATGAGATTTAGAATTTTGTGCTCATCGGAATCTTGTTTAACAAGACAAACTCTCTCACCCTATGAAATATAGAATTTTGTACTCATCGCATTCTTGTTTAACAAGACAAATACTGTCACCCTATGAAATTTAGAATTTTGTGCTCATCGCATTCTTGTTTAACAAGACAAATACTGTCACCCTATGAAATTTAGAATTTTGTGCTCATCAGATTCTTGTTTAACAAGCAAAAAAATGTCAACCTATGAGATTTAGAATTTTGTGCTCATCGGAATCTTGTTTAACAAGACAAACTCTCTCACCCTATGAAATTTAGAATTTTGTGCTCATCGCATTCTTGTTTAACAAGACAAATACTGTCACCCTATGAAATTTAGAATTTTGTGCTCATCGCATTCTTGTTTAACAAGACAAATACTGTCACCCTATGAAATTTAGAATTTTGTGCTCATCAGATTCTTGTTTAACAAGACAAATACTGTCACCCTATGAAATTTAGATTTTTGTGCTCATCGCATTCTTGTTTAACAAGACAAATACTGTCACCCTATGAAATTTAGAATTTTGTGCTCATTGCATTCTTGTTTAACAAGACAAACTCTCTCACCCTATGAAATACAGAATTTTGTGCTCATCGGATTCTTGTTTAACAAGACAAATACTGTCACCCTATGAAATTTAGAATTTTGTGCTCATCAGATTCTTGTTTAACAAGACAAATACTGTCACCCTATGAAATATAGAATTTTGTGCTCATCGCATTCTTGTTTAACAAGACAAATACTGTCACCCTATGAAATACAGAATTTTGTGCTCATCGGATTCTTGTTTAACAAGTCAAATACTGTCACCCTATGAAATTTAGAATTTTGTGCTCATCAGATTCTTGTTTAACAAGACAAACTCTCTCACCCTATGAAATATAGAATTTTGTACTCATCGCATTCTTGTTTAACAAGACAAATACTGTCACCCTATGAAATTTAGAATTTTGTGCTCATCGCATTCTTGTTTAACAAGACAAATACTGTCACCCTATGAAATTTAGAATTTTGTGCTCATCAGATTCTTGTTTAACAAGCAAAAAAATGTCAACCTATGAGATTTAGAATTTTGTGCTCATCGGAATCTTGTTTAACAAGACAAACTCTCTCACCCTATGAAATATAGAATTTTGTACTCATCGCATTCTTGTTTAACAAGACAAATACTGTCACCCTATGAAATTTAGAATTTTGTGCTCATCGCATTCTTGTTTAACAAGACAAATACTGTCACCCTATGAAATTTAGAATTTTGTGCTCATCAGATTCTTGTTTAACAAGCAAAAAAATGTCAACCTATGAGATTTAGAATTTTGTGCTCATCGGAATCTTGTTTAACAAGACAAACTCTCTCACCCTATGAAATTTAGAATTTTGTGCTCATCGCATTCTTGTTTAACAAGACAAATACTGTCACCCTATGAAATTTAGAATTTTGTGCTCATCGCATTCTTGTTTAACAAGACAAATACTGTCACCCTATGAAATTTAGAATTTTGTGCTCATCAGATTCTTGTTTAACAAGCAAAAAAATGTCAACCTATGAGATTTAGAATTTTGTGCTCATCGGAATCTTGTTTAACAAGACAAACTCTCTCACCCTATGAAATATAGAATTTTGTGCTCATCGCATTCTTGTTTAACAAGACAAATACTGTCACCCTATGAAATATAGAATTTTGTGCTCATCGCATTCTTGTTTAACAAGACAAATACTGTCACCCTATGAAATTTAGAATTTTGTGCTCATCAGATTCTTGTTTAACAAGCAAAAAAATGTCAACCTATGAGATTTAGAATTTTGTGCTCATCGGAATCTTGTTTAACAAGACAAACACTCTCACCCTATGAAATATAGAATTTTGTGCTCATCGCATTCTTGTTTAACAAGACAAATACTGTCACCCTATGAAATTTAGAATTTTGTGCTCATCAGATGCTTGTTTAACAAGACAAATACTGTCACCCTATGAAATATAGAATTTTGTGCTCATCGCATTCTTGTTTAACTAGACAAATACTGTCACCCTATGAAATTTAGAATTTTGTGCTCATCAGATTCTTGCTTAACAAGCAAAAAAATGTCAACCTATGAAATATAGAATTTTGTGCTCATCGCATTCTTGTTTAACAAGACAAATACTGTCACCCTATGAAATTTAGAATTTTGTGCTCATCAGATTCTTGTTTAACAAGCAAAAAAATGTCAACCTATGAGATTTAGAATTTTGGGCTCATCGGAATCTTGTTTAACAAGACAAATACTGTCACCCTATGAAATTTAGAATTTTGTGCTCATCGCATTCTTGTTTAACAAGACAAATACTGTCACCCTATGAAATTTAGAATTTTGTGCTCATCAGATTCTTGTTTAACAAGCA